CTGCAGTTGCAAGGACCTTGGCTTGGTCCTGAGACAGTCCCTCAGCACCCCAGCTTGGTCCTGTTCTGGTCCCTAAGCAGCGCGCCTTGGGCCCTGCCTTGGTCCTGACCCCAGTCCCTGAGCACCCTGGCTTGGTCCCTGGCTTGGTCCTGATTGAATCTCCAAGCGCCCTGGCTTAATCGCTGGCTTGGTCCTGATTTAGTTCGTGAGTACCCTGGCTTGGACCCCAGCTTGGTCCTGATCCCGCCCCCGAGACCCCAGGCTTGGCACTTGGTCCTGATCCAGTCTCTGAGCAGCCCAGCTTGGTCCCTGGCTTTGGCCCCGCTCTGCTCCCCCATCATCCTCGCTTAATGCCTAGCTTAGTCCTGATCCAGTTCCTGAGCACCTCAGCTTGGTCCCCAGCACCGAAGGCATCCAGCACCAATGTTTTTTCTTCTCTGATGCGGACACCAGGGATGATGGCAGCGTTGGGACCAGGATGCTGCTGGCCTGGGGGTGAAGGGGTGTCCCCATCCCTGAGTAGCCCCAGGTTTCGGGGTACAACCACTCCTCCTCTCCTAAAACCTCAAGCACACGTGCTCAGCACCACCCCACCCCAGAAACGGCTGCACCCAGCTGCCGTGGTGGGTGCCCCCTTCTCTCCCACCCTCCCTCGGCAGCGCTGGCCGGGGGGAGCAGAGGGTGAAGGCTCGAGCCCGGGTGCCTCCGCAGAGCTTTCAGGCTCAGCATCAATAATAGATGCCCTTTCGGAGGGGCATTAATCAAGGCCTCATGCATCATGCATGGCCAGCGGCGCGGGGGAAAGCGGGGCTCTTTGCTGCCCGGAGAGAGCCGACGTCCCGTGGGGAGGTGCCCAAAAGCCACCTCTTCCTGAAGGAAACCAGGGTGCTGAGGTCCTTGTTAGCGATATCTGGGGTATCCCCCAAGGGAAAGGCTTTTTCCTGGCCCCTGGAGTCATCTGCATCCCATGGAGTGGTCCTCGCTCTCGCACACATGGGATGGTTTGGGTGCTGGGCCAGCAGTGCTTGGGGCTAGTGGGTGCCCACCCAAGGGGCATGAGCACCCTTGGGTGCCATCAGAGGTGTAAGCTCTTAGAGACAGGTCCGATGGGATATTTAGGATTTCCCCCTCAACCAGGTTTCCTTCTGGTCCCTTCCCCATCCCAACCCTGCTAGCAGTCCTCAGGGACCCCACATCCCCTGCCCAGCTTCCCACCCCGTTGCCGTGGGGTCCTCCCACCCCACGGCAAGACTGGTGCTGGGGCGTGGCT